TCAAACACCTGCACCTACACCTACACAAAAATATAGCTTCAGCCTACAATTCCTATAGGAAGCTGTACATAGAATATTTGGCTCTAAGGGGATGTTTAGAGTTTTTAAAATCTTGTGTGTACACAGACAGGTAAAGGTCTTCAAAAAAATTCTGTTTGTAGAGCCATTTATGAAGGACTCACCCTTAAACCATACTTCCTCTAACAGTCTTGAAACCCTAGAAGGTTTTGAGCAGGCATTAAAAGCTCAATGCTCTTGCGTTCCGACCTATCAGGAATCAATGAAAATTCTCTGTATCATAAATGTGACACCAGTTGATTCCAAATCACTCTACCAACTCAGGGGGAATTCATTTCAGCAGGGTGTTGCTTTTGCACAAGATCTGTGTCATCTGACAACTGAAAAGCAACTTTCTAGCCACCTGTTATTTAAGCATCTTTTTTTATTTTCTTATCCATTTAAGTTTCCATTCATAATTCGGTTTTACATATTTTTAATAGACCTATTGGCATAAAATCATCATTCAGATTATTAGTACTATAAATTTTATCCACTGTTATCCAAATGACCCCATAATTATTACCTTTGTTGTTAGCATAATTGCTTTTAACAAACTATTAACTTCTAACATCATGATTAATAGTATTAGAAACCTGCCACCTCACCCAAAATAAGTTAGGAAGTCCTATAGATAAAAAGTGTTATTAGAAACTTTCAACACATAACTTCATCTTAAATTGTATCACAATAACGTAAATGCTGAGACTGGTTTCTGTTCATTGTAGTGCACAAGAATGCCTGCGACGATAAGGTCACTAAAGGTCGCTAGACAGTCACAAGACCTTTCACTACACCTTGGAAACTACATACTTCTAACATTAAAAGCTGGAAAAATCATTTCTTCTGAAACTATCAGAGAATATGTGACAGTTTTAGTTCATATGAGTCATAAAACTCAGATAATTATAGTCAGTAGAATATTAATACAATCATCTCACATATGGTTTCATATTTCACCAGCTCTAGCACATTTGCATCTCAAGATCTATATTAACATTTTAAAGATAAATTAGCACATCTTAATACTTAATAAGTAGAAATTCATAGAAAAATGGGCATTAAATTTTCCTTGTAAAAGGGAGCAAAGGTGGTTTTATATTGGGTGTTCATAACAGGGGAATACATTAATCAGCTTTCAAAAGCTAAATTTGTCTCAAGCTCATTACTATTCAAAGCAATGAATTTTCCCTGGTAACATGTCACAAAGGGAATAAGGAACGGAAGTTCTAATGACAGCCCAATAATTTAGCACAGAGTTTTAATTCCGTAATCTGGAGTTTATGAATCTAAGAATAATTATATACACTAAAGCTTGAATCTACAAGCATTTCATAAATTAAAGGAATGCTATGTATATTGTAATATAAAATACGATTCAATATATATTGAAATTAAGAAGCAGTCAGACTATACTGCTTTGCCAAACATAAACAATCATTAACTTTCCCCACACTAAGGCATGCAACAAAAGCATTTATACTTTCTCATTATGTCCAACATTGAAAAATTATAATGAATTGATGGCTTGTAGAACTTATAAAAATTGAGGTGAAGTCAAGAATAAGCACTGACGAATGAGTAGTATGAAGCTGAGCTCCTGAGTTTGAGTGTACAGCAAATAATTTCACAGAAACCACAGACTACAGATACTTGGTTCACAGAAAACAAAAAATAAAACTGGCAGCCACAAATAAAAAATTCAGTATTTTTCAGAAAAAGATGAGTATGAACCTCCAACTAATAAATCTAAAGGACCCAGTTACAGTGCATAATGCTCACTAACTCCTTGATATAAACTGAAATAACCTGAAAATCTAAACATATTGAAAGATATGTGCTAATGTGTTCATATTTGTAGTCATCACTAAGTTTTTAGTAAAAATATTAATCGTGTTCATGTAGCCTAACTTAATATATAAGTTCCTCATTTGTTAATGGCAATTTGTGATAACTTCTGATAAGAGCCCTCCGAAGTCATGTTTATATGATGTAGATTGTCTCATATCAGAAAAATCTGTCAGTTGAAGAATTACCCTAATACTGCCTCATGTTTATCTAGGAATCGCTCCTAAGAGAAATGTCCATGTCTAAAGATATTTTGAAAGATGTGAATTATTCAGAAAGTCTCAGGAGACCTATAAGCTTTTGGGAAGTTGATACAAATCTAAGACCTAAGAAATATTCCATCTTCTGGCACATCTGAAGGACAAACACCTCAGATGCCTTAAGTCATCTTTTGTCTTGTTTGTTTTTTTACTGCAGAAGGGACGATTGTCTTTCTCCACCAGAGGTCAACATTTAAGGAGCCTAAAATGGATTAAATTTGAAGGGCAGAGTACTACAGAGGTGGGACCCAAAGAGAGAGAGAACTTCAGAGGCCTGCAGGGGGTCTACTTGAGATTTTGACTATGTACTAATCAGATCATACATGAGAAAAACATCTCGTTACCAGAGGAAAAAACACCCATAAAAACTTGAAATATAAACAAGGCTGAGAGTAGTTTGTGTTTACACACCCAGAGTGGAAAGACCTTGTAATGCAATGCTCATCCTGTAGAATACTCAGAGGCATATTACTTTAGTTATGAGCCTAAATTTGTCCTGTACCACAAGCTAATCTAAACCCATCTAAACAATGCTTAAATCAAGCCTCAAAGGTGTCCTTTTGATTCCAGTAACCCTATCTGTATGCCAGTGCAAATTTTAACACTATTTAAAGGAAGACGATAAAATGCAGCAACCAACAAAATGTCAGGTATTCAGTTAAAAATTATCACGTTAAAGAAAACACAGAAATATATAACCCATAATGAGGAGAAAATTGATCATTAGAAACAGACACAAAAAAGTCAGAAATGCTGGAACTAAGATAGAGAAAAATATTAACATTCTGATTAGAGAAATGGAAGATTTAAAAAAAGACCCAAATTCAACTTCTAGAGATGGGTTGGCTCTAGAAAGTTTGGCAAATTTTTTTCTTAAAGGGGCAGATAGTAAATATTTCAGGATTACGGGCCATACGATCTCCATTGCAACTATTCAACCGACCAACCATAGACATTACATAGATGAATGGGCATGACTATGTTGCAATAAACTGTGTTTTACTAAAGGTATGTCTAATCAATGGGCAATAATTCAATGACCCCTGATCTAGAGGTTAAAATATCAGAAATAAAAAGTGCCTTAAATAGAGTTAGCTACCGCTGAAATCCTCTAGAAGAAAACATCAATGGAATTAGCATCATATCTATTCACAATGAAACACAATGAGAAAAAGTATTTATAGACAGGATCGGGTACATTTGGGACCCTATCAAGCAGTCTAACATATATATATGTAATTGGAATCCCAGAATAAAAAAGGAAGGGGACAGGAAAAGTATTTGAAGAAATAATGGCTGATTTTTCCCCCCCTAAGATTTCTTGACAACAAATTCACAGAATCAGAAAGCTCAACAAATTCCAAGCAGATGAGAAAACTGAGGCTTAGAGTTGCTAGGTTATTTTCCGGAGGCATTTTCATGACAAGCTATGATTCAAATCTGTTGCTGATTCAAAACCTAAGTTTTTACCTATTTGCTATACTTCCTCTCAAGCATGACAGAATGAGTCTAGTCTTCACAACAAGAGCAAAAATCATATTTATTGAGAAACCAGCTATATATCAGGTGCTGTGCTAGATGTTATCTCATATATTCTCTGATTTCGTTACAATATCTCTGTTAAGTGTGAATATTTCCCCCCATTTTACAATGGAAAAGCTTCAGGTCACAGAGCTAACATAGAATGCTTAAGTAACAAGCAATAACAGTAGAAAAAGACACCACCTCAGATCTGGATTTACAGACTGTGTTCTCCTACAGAGCTTGGCTATATGGATGAAGTAGCTGAAAAAGAAATAAGGTCTATGCATTCTGTAAGTAGGAATCATGTAGTTTAGAAACATTTGAAACGCAAACCCTCGATTTTACCATTAGTTCAAGCAATTACAGTACAAATTACTGACAATAAATTTCAGAGCTAGTACAATAGCTCCCGGTACGGCTGTAATAGTTAGGATTGTAAAACCATAGAATTGTGAAATTATTTACAGATTGTAGAATCCAGTCTATTCCTTTTGGGGAAATGGAAACACAACCCAGAAGGCTGTATCATTTGTCTAAAATAACATCATTGGTTATTGACCCTCTCTTCTTAGCAGTCCCCAGTTTCATTCCCAAAAATATAAATTATTCATGCAGAAAGACAAACCCAATTTTGGCAGGGCAGAGATTTCAATGAGATGTGAATTGGTTAAGGACTGTGATTTATGAATCCAGGCAGCTTTCCAGATTGCCTTATCTCAGCTGTCCTTCTGTGAAACATGCTATTTTGAGTACCTAAATTGACCTCTTTTCCATCCTATTCGACAGTCATCGCCCCTTCATGAAGAAGGTAAGTTGCTGTAACACCATGAAAATTCTGAAAATCAAAGGATGTTAGAGAGGAAACTTATATAGAGATCATTTTTCCTTTTTGTCAGATGTAAAATAAGCCAAAATAGTTTGTGAGTGTACTCTGAAGGATTAAGTATAAATGCTTTATTTTAAGCAAATTCTCAACAGTATGAATGCCAACCAAAGATGTACATATATACATACATACAGACAGACAGACACACGTGCTTTTCTGTAAGCCCCATGAAGGCAGAGGCTACATTACTCACACACATTCCCAGCACCTTACATAGCAGCTGGGCAGCCGGTGCTGTAGGTGCTCAATATTTATTGGGTGAATGGAAAAAAAAATGAGTGAATAAGTACATATGGAAAAGCATAGCTCTAAAGCAATACGTGTAGCTAGATTTTAAGTAGATTGTAAACAATAAGTAATTTATGAATTGATTTTCATGTGTTAGCTATCACAGATAGTGCGTTTCCATACTTTAATTTCATTCAATCCTGTCTTGGGTTCTGAAGGAAATTAGTGTTGTATCCCCTTACTGGGTTCGACCACACAAGTCTTAATTTATGTTTTTAATCTTAGGACACCTGTTTTTAATCTTAGGACACCAAGAATATCTATTCAAAAACTATATGTGACTTTCTGGGTTTAGAGTAGTACTGAAAGACAGTGGTGATCAATAAATGTCAGCAATTTGTGTGTGTCTGTGTCCGTGTCTGTGTGCCCGTGTGTGTGTTCACAGTGGTAGTTGTAGATCTGAGCCTGCCTTCACTCCTCTATCTTGAAATTAAAAGCTCCCAGCAAATTTGAGCAAGCAAGCTGATGTGGTTGCCTCAAATTTTAGACCTTTACTCAGGAAATTGATGGAGATGTTCTGGTCATTTTTTAAATCTTTGGGGCTTGGAGAACAGAAGTAGTTTTAATGGTTAAATTTACTCAAAGCATCCCTGGGGTTCAGATTCACCAGTCCTTGCTGAGCAGAAGTCCATGCCCTGGCAGCTTAATAGACTCTAAAGGAAGGGACACCCCCTCCCAAAAAGATTGACCAGAGATAGAAAAAGGAGAGACATTGTAAAAAAACATAAAATGTTCTACTCTGGTCAACATGAAGATTCTTTACACTGAAGAAGTAGCGACTCTTCCTTGCTTAAGAAAGATTATTAATCTTTTAATTTTCTGTAGTCTACATAAAAAGAGAAAATTAATAGAAAAATACTCAAACTCTCTTATTCAACAGCTCTGAAGGATTGTTACGTTGCTCTTTTTTATTTTTTCCTATCCAGTACAAGGCCACTGTCCCTTGCCCATTGGTGACAGTTACATGTTAAGCAGCCACTTCTCCAGTTGCTGAGAAGAGCAACGAAGTTGTCTGTAGTTCCAACTTTCACAGATCACAAACAAAACAAAGATGAGAAAGGCAGATGAAGAAAGAAGATTTGATTCACCACTGGCTGTATGACATTCTGGGTGGATGGAAGATAGTAAGCAGATGTATCCATCTGAAGGCAACACTTGTCTGTCTTGGTCCCAGCTGACTGTGAGCACCCATAACAATGTCTAGCGGATCACATATATCTACTGAAAGACAAAAGAAAGGGCGGAGGAACTGTTCACATGACTTGCGCCAGATCCTGGTCTCACCTTGGTTAGCAGGACCCTGTCTTTCTCCTTAGAAGAGAGTTCTAACCAGATTTTTCCATGTCTGTGGTAAACGTTCAGCCAAAGACAGAGAAACACATCGGTATTCAATAATGTAATACCTATCATAGCCTATGTTCCAAAATTCTTAAACTTCCCAGAAATTAGTTCTATTCCATGGAAGTAAACAAGAAAGAATCAGGGATATTTCCATGTACTTATTTGTTCAGACACATGTAAAGGGAAGCCAATAAATAAATAAATAAATAAATAAATAAATAAACAAACAAACAAACAATAGGACATTTTTGAGAAAATTCTAAGCTACAGTTCACTGATTTACATATAGGCAATTCTCGGGCAACTGAGAGGCACTGAGTGCTCAGAGCCCAGGTCGGGCTGGCCTCCTGCTTTGCTGGCACTCCTGTCTGGCAGGCTGTGCTGACAGCGTAAATCAAGGGATTATTAGATTGACCATATGCCCTAGGCTTTTGTTTCTTTGTTTTTGTTTTGGGACAGAGATAGGAAAGTTGTAGGGGGCCCCAGAGATCTATGAAAAAGAAGACAGAAAAGAAGGGGGAGGGGAAAGAAATTTGCAGGGATAGGTGATTTCTGCTGTAAAAGTCTGGACACAATGTGAGTTTGGTTCCGGCAGAAGCCAACTGGCATGTGGGTCAAGAATTAGCCTACAGGGATGCGAGGATAACATCTCCTGAGTATGTCTCTAAATTACATCAGAAACTTCTGTGAAGGATGTGTGAGTATTATACAAATAACAAAAAATGGTGTGAGTACTGTTTGTGTGTTTTAACCTGATTTTTGTGTATTGAATAAGTTCCTCTACATATACGGAGAATCACATATTAACCATATACTTCAAAATACTCTGAATTTAAAATTGTAACTAGGACATTTCAGGAAGTACTTTTAGCTTTGTTTTAAAGTAGCTCACTCTCTTGCAATTCAATAAAGGAGTAGAAAATAAATTGTAATGTGAAATAAATAAACATAATTTGGTTGTTAAGCTAGTGCGCATGAGTTTAACATTGGATGGGTTATTTACTTTTCCAAAACAGGTCCCAGATATTCTCAGATTTCCATGATTTCATTACAAAAGGATTGGGGATATTAATTGAATTGAAAGCTTTTTAAATATTTCCAAAATTATACATTTCATTATTAGCAACGTGTCACTATTTGACTGTTGCACTTCATATTTTCAGAGTAAAAGGGGGTGAGAAATCTCCTAATGCAGGGCTTGCATTGGTCTTGATAACTGCTAAGGTTCTTTCTTGCTTCAAAATTTTATGAACCTTAAATTTTTTAAAATGTGGCAACGAAAAAAATCCTTTAAAATGTCCTCCTTTAATGTTTGTTTTCAAAAGATTCTTTTCTCCCAAAACTATAACAGGTGAAGCCTCCAACCGTGGTCGGTCAATTCCACACACTTTTCTTTGGATCCGTCCGAATGTTCTTCCTCGGGGTGTTAGGCTTCGCGGTCTATGGGAATGAGGCTTTGCACTTCAGTTGTGACCCAGACAAGAGAGAAATAAACCTCTTCTGTTACAATCAGTTCAGGCCAATCACTCCCCAAGTAAGTTTCTCTGTGTTCCCATAAAACTGACTCTGCACCACACAAAATTTGTTTTGTTTTAAATATAAATTAGTCATAATAACATTAAAATCATATGTAGGATATAAAACTGAAACTTGTGGACACAAACAGCAGTGTGGTGGCTGCCAGAGGAGGAGGGTGGGGAGTGAAGGGGGCCTAATATATGGTGATGGGAGAAGATTTGACTTTGGGTGGTGGGCAATGTACAGATCTTGTATCATAGAAATACACACCTGAAACCTATATAATCATACGAACCAATGTCACCCTAATAAATTTAATATAACAGGTATTATTTCTAGAATTATTACTATTTTTAACTAGCTGTTGATTTCAGGTAAATTAATTTGAGTTGATTGAGAGTTCCTTCCAACTCCAACATTCTATCATCTATTGATGTTAAAATTATACTCCAGGCGTGTAATTAGAAAATGGAAATTAGACAGCTAATAAAATAAAGTACTTCATCATTATCAGTTCATTGGTAGGTGATGATAGTACAATATGACTACATTTCACAATTACTAAGATGTTTAGTGTTTCAAACATCTTATTAATTAAAAGAATGTTCTTCATTACTTCCTTCCTTCATTATATTATTTTTATTGCTTATAAGACTTATGAAACTTGGAATTTTTAAGTTAGCCTCTCTTGATAATCAGTGGTTTTTTTAAAGTGTACTTTTGGTTATATGTTGATTGATTTGACTAAGATATTTCTGACACACTTTAGGTGTTCTGGGCATTGCAACTAGTGATTGTCCTGGTTCCTGGGGCTACTTTCCATCTTTACGCTGCGTGTAAAAGCATCACTGAAGAATGCATTCTTCAAAAGCCCATCTACGCTGTGATTTATATAGTCTCCATTTTATTAAGAATCAGCCTAGAGACGATATCATTTTGGCTTCAGATTCACCTCTTTGGTTTCCAAGTCAAGCCTCTCTACCTGTGTGATGCTGGAGCCCTGGGGAAAAATCTTACTATTATAAAATGCATGGTGCCAGAACACTTGGAGAAGACCATTTTTCTCATTGCAATGTATACATTTGCTGCAATTACAATGGTATTATGTGTTGCTGAGGTTTTTGAGATCACATTTAAAAGATTATGCTTTCTAATTAAGCAGTGACCCAAATGGTGATTATCTGCTGTCATGGCACAGTTATTTATCAATCATTTTAATTTGTTTTTACCTTATTGAGTATCTTAATTTCAAACATAAATATTTATTCTTTAAATTTACCTCAGTGTGTCTAAAATTTACATCTAACATAAAATATAGTGCTAAATTCGAAGGCAGGGATTCTTGAACAACCATTTCATTCTATTTTAATTTTGTCATGCACTGGAAAACAGACATAGAACTAATGTTAACTCATGCTTAAATAGTACCTTTACAGAGTTCTCTCACATACAATATCTTAATAGATCACAGTATTTTGTGGATAGAGAAGCTTTTATTATCCCTTTTATGCAGAGTGGAAAACTGAGGCTCAGAGAGGTTAATTCATACAACCAGACTAGAATCCAGACCTCCTTAACTCTAAAGCCATTTCCTTTTCCACTGAACCATGCAGCTTAAACTTTGAGGATGTAATTATATTTGCAGTCATGTAAAGTATAACATATTTAAGCACAAGTTGTAAGCTAATTACTAAAAGTCATTCTATATTTGATCACTAACTTGAAGAAATATGGCAATTACATTTTTAATAGTATACTCTACTGTTTTCTTAAAATTCTAAATACTAAACGATATGGTAATGTAGCCTCCAAATAAATTTTTTAGATGCTATGAAAAATATTGTGCAAAGTTTTCTTGTTTCTTGTTGAAAAAAATTAAAACCTCTGTGCTCATAGATATAACTATTGCTTCTATATTCAAGATTATTGAAGTGGAAAATTATATTTATATTAAATTAGACTTTCTAAATGGCCATGAAATTATTTCAAAGACAATTTTGTGTATATTCAGTGCATTTCTTTTTATCTGCCTGCCTTACCAATAATCATCTTCATTGGATGTCATTTAAAATCTTTATGTATGATTGCCTTATACTGGTGCTTTATTAGGGAAGTAAGTAGAGTCAGTCAAATACTGAGACTTTCAATCTTTTCCTCAGTATTATTCAGCCTATTTTCGATATCATGAATTTCCAGATTTAGGATTTTTTTCATTATTGAAGCTTTTTCCACATGAGTACACAGGAGAAAAATCCAACTTACCAACATTCAACAAATAGCTGCTGAGTATCATTTACCATTTACTGCATTGAGTTCATATACAAAGATAACTAAGATTTAGTACCTTTATGAGATCATATTCTAGTGGGACGTTCAGTGGCATGACAAGAGGTAGAAATAGCCCACGCTGTGCGAAAGACTATTTATTCACTGTCTTTGTCTAGAATCACTGGCCCCTAGTGCTAATAAACAGCAACAAAGTTTAGTCCATTTTGTTCTTATTTTTAAATTCTTTAGAGATAATACACGTTTTATTGCCTGCCACCAGTGTGGTCTGCTCCCACCAATCCTCACACATACACATACATCTTCATTTTGAGTAATACTTGCCTGCACCTTTGGAAGGCTGGTAATTTTTGCCAGACTGGGTGTTTTACTTTGTTGGATGCTGGATATTTATTTTCTTCCCATAAATATAGTTAAACTTTATTCTGAGGCCCAGTTGAGTAACTTGGAAACAATGTATCCTTTGTGATTTATTTTAAGCTTTATTAGATGGGACCAGTGTAGCCCTGGTGAAGGGCTGACTTTGCCCCATTACTAAAGTAAATAAGGCCTCCCTGTGCGCTCCATCAGATTCTCCTTTGGTGCATCAGGCATCAGAACCATTACGCTTCCACAGCTCTCACAATCTCAAATTCCATCCTCAAGCTGGTAGAGCCATTGTCTTAGTGCATTTGGGCTGCTATAACAAAATACCCAGCCTGGGTGGCTTATGAACAAAATAAATTTATTTCTCATAGTTCTGGAGGCTGAATCTCTGAAGTCAGGGTGCCAGCATGGTCAGGTTCTAGTGAGCGCTCTCTTCTGGGTTACATATTTGCTATTTCCTGACAAGATGGGAAGAAGGTAAGAGGGCTCTCTGGGGTCCCTTTTATAAGGACACTAATCTCGTTCCTAAGGGCTTCGCCTTCATGCCTAATCACCTCCCAAAGGTCTCACTTCCCAATATCATCACATTGCAGGTTAGGATTTCAAAATACGAATTTTGGGGGAACACAATCATTCAGTGCATTGCACTCACAGTTGCAATGTAAGCTGCTGCAGCTACAAGCAGCAGGTCTTTTCTGCACCCAAGGAAAGAAGGAAGAAAGGGCAAGAAATGTGCCCAAATATTTGAGAAACTAACAATACAATTTTATTTGCCCATGGATCAAAGAAGAAATTACATGGAAAGCTGAAAGACACTTCAAGCAAATGCTAATACAAACACAATTTATCAAAATTTGTGGAAAGCAACTTGAAACTTGCTTGGCAAAAAATTAAAAGTTCTAAATATTATGTTGTGATAAAGATTAAATGAGTTTACAGAAAGAGCCTAGAAACATGCATGATGCATAGTATATGCTCAATATATGCTGGCTGGTTAGTATTACTTTGGTGTGGCAGAGGTGAGGTGAAACAATTCCTTTTTGGTGGTCTTAATCGCAATAGCAGTGAGTACAATCTTTGACAGAGGCAATCAGGGCCGAGGGTATGGCTTGAAAAGAGTAGAGAAGGCTTGAAGAATCAGGTGTGTACTCGTGAGTCACCAGGGCAGTTGTCCTCGACTCTAGATACGCCATTAAAAGTTCTTGAAGACTTTTCCAAAATACTGACATTTAGGATCCTACCCAGAACAATTAAACCTGAAAGGCTGGCGGTGGAACCTAGATATGAATCTTTTAATAAACGTCTGAGATGATAGTTAAGGGCAACCGTAGTTGAGAAGCAAGAAGTAATACAAAGAGAATAAACAAGAAGGCATAGGACAGAGAAAAGACGTTTATGGTTATCCCACTCTGCTTTGCTTCATTAATTTCTCTACCAATCCAGCAACTTCTGACTGGAAAGTCAGGACCATGGGAGTAAGAGAAGGCAATCATAATGCCTTCGTTTGTTTGGGCTGCTATGAGGAAATAACACAGAGCGGGTAGCTTATAAGCAACAGAAATGTTTCACCTCCTAAAGGCCCCGCCTCCTAATACCATCACATTGGTCACTGGGTTTCAACCTATGAATCTGGCGGCGGCGGCGGAGGGGCACAGATATTAGTTTCCCAGCAAATGCCTCCTCAAGTGGTAGTCAACGTGATGCTGAGACGGGAGAAGAAAGGGCTCCGTTTCTTGCTGGGGGTGGGGGTGGGGGGGGGAAACGCAGGCCCAGAGTAAGGTGGTGGACTCTGCAAACAGGAATAGACACAGGATGTGGAGTGGGGGTAATGTAAGGACATACAGCAGCTCCTTCAGGGGTTGGGGACAGTTTGGTGCTGATTAGAGCAGAGGAACCGTTCAGGGCTTGAGCTCTTGTTTCTTGGAAATGTCAACGAAAATCGTTTTAAGATGAACTCTCAAAAATGTGGACTAAGTTAAAATAAAGAAATAACGGTCATTCGAGGAGGTAACTAAAGTTAAAGGTGATAATATGGGATAGAGGGGAAAGAAAAAGTGAAGTCGTGGGTGGCAGGAGGAAGGCTGAGGCCTGGCGGGCTGTGGGCAGCAGCACTGGGCCCGCAGCGCCCGGGGCCCCCTCTCCGCCGCGGACAAGACCGCGAACGTCCAGACTCCGCAAAGTTTCATTTCCCGAAAATGAACGACTTTCAGGCCATCCATTCCCTAAAGCATACACTATCCAATTCACCACGAAAGCTCACTTTTCTTCGTTAGGAAAAAAACAAAAAACTGCTGGTTACTTTATCAATGTGTCGGTGTAGAAGAACGTAATTTAAAAGGTTAAACACATCGCCTCTTACCTAAAGCAGGGACTGAACGTACAGTCTCTAGGACCAGAAAAGCTGCCATGGACACTGCTGATACAGCCTGAGGACTTGGGAGCGACCATTTCCTGAATGGTGCCGAGGGCGATTCGTGCCTTTATCTTTTCTCCCAGTCAACAAACATTCCCTTCTTTTTGTTTTTCCTACAAAAGGGATTGAGGGCGGGGGGGTGGTAAACAACCCCCCCCAAAGTAAAACAAAACATTACCCCCCCCCCCTTCCTACCAGCAGAGCGCGCTGGCGTCTCTCAAATTTTAACTTGCCGGGAACCGAGAGCGCTGAGGCACTTCCGGCGGGAAAGCCATAGTTGACTCGCTGTTGCGGAGCAACGGACGGAGTGGGCGGGACTTGCCCTGCGCGCTCGTGCGCGTGACCTCCCAGCGGAAGCGGAAGTGTCGGCGGCGCGCGAGTAGGAAGTGGCGAGTCCCGGAGTGGAGATGGCCGCGCTTGCTCCTCTGCCCCCGCTCCCGCCGCAGTTTAAGAGCATACAGCATCATCTGAGGACCGCTCAGGAGCATGACAAGCGGGACCCTGTCGTGGCCTATTACTGTGAGTATTTCCGAGTCCCCACGGCCTCCCGTAGCTTCCGGGTCCCACCCGCCGCGCGCGGGTCCCCGGGGCAGGCCCCGCCCCCTACCTTTAGAGCCGAGCGCTAACCTCTGCCCCGCCCCCCTCGGGGGTCCCGCCCTTCTCTCTGCGGGGTCGCGGGTCCCAGAAATGCACAACTCCAACAAAAGCACCGTGGTATCCACCGCTCTCCTGTAGGGGGCTTACAAATATCCCTGAGCTGACTCTACGGCCTCCCGAGCCCCGAAGCACGCTGGCCCGGGGTGTTTCTGTTTTGTGTTGTGTTTTCTGTACGCACAGGAGCCTCTCGTCTGCACCAGGGAAGCCTGAAAATAACCTGGGTAGTTAGTAGTTGAGTTGGAGCATCGCAGGTGAAGTGTCCCAGAGGCAGGAGTGATGCAGCCGAGAGGAGTACAGGCCCGTTTTGTGGGCGCAGCAGCAAGTGCAGGTGGACGGTGACCCGTGCCGGCCGGTGCAGGAACAGACGCGCTTCGGTGGAGGGCGTCTGCCCCGCAGCCGGCGGTCGGGTTTTACCCCTTCCCACTTCTGCAGCCACACTGCCCTCTCCCGCCGGGGAGGACTTTCAGTCTCGACTTAAATAAAGGCCTGGGGTTGAGACGTTTCGTGGCCATATGCTCACTTGGACGGGCTGTCATACTTACCATCTGCAGTCGGTGGGAAGCACGGGTTACAATTGTTCCAGCTTCGTCTTTTGCGTTGAAGAGAGTAGTAGCAGTGTTATGTCAACTTTAGTCTGTGTTCTGTGCTCGAACTTGACTGCAGATCGGTAGCCCAGCCACTGTCAGTCTGCTGAACAGGATTTTTAGAGTTAAGCTCAATGCAGTGTGTCCTCTCCTGTGAGTGCTGTCAGGTTAGCCAAAGTCGGATCTGCCATCCCCTCTGCCCTGCGGTTGTGCCCGCTTTCAGTGCCCACGTGGGCAAGGCCCCTTCGGAATGGCTGCCTTTTTTCTCCACTTGGCAAATTAAAGATCTAACTTAAATGTCACCTCTTCCCTGGTCAGTAAGTTGAATACTGACTCTCTAGGCTTTACCTCATTGTGCTCAAGTCTCACAGTATTGTTTCTACCGTACTTGTTCGGGGTCCTCAAGCAGGGACCATGAATCCTTCAGCACATATCTGTTGAGCTTCTACCTGCATCCAGCACTACCAGGCGCCGTGGCTACAGCTCCCGCCCTCGTGGAGCTCACGCACAGTGGGATGGGGAGGTTACGCACTAAGATGAGTATGTTATGTAAAATATTAGAAGGTTATGGAGGGAGAAGAGGCAAGGAAAGAGAATAGGGAGTACCAGGAGCGGGGTGGCAGGAGCCAAGGAGGGAATCTCACTCTGAGAGTGGTCTGGTAACTGTTTTGCTGAATTCATATCTGAGCAAAGACTCAGAAGGAAGGGAAAACAGGCCTGACTTCATCTGGGAAAGAGTCTTCTCTTTTCCCCAGAGAGGGAATTACAAATACAGAAGTCCTGAGGCGGGGCTCCTTGAAGGAGGTTCAGGGAAGCCATCGGATCTGAAGTAGAGCAGGGAGAGAAATGAGGTGGTGTGGACAAAGGTAGTCTGCTGTAACAGTGAAACAGGAGCTCCCATCCCCATCTAACTAATCCCTATTCCTGGGCTGTGCATCCTATACCTTCCTGACTACCCAGGGACCCTCTATGGCCTGTGTCATTGTCCTCTCCCTTTGGCCATTTCTTTCTAAACTTACCCCAGTTGCCTTTATTTAAAAAATAAAAGAAGCTCTCACTAGGACATTCCCCTAGAGTCGCATCCTGGCTGCCCAACCTCAGAGACGAGCCTGAAATAGCTGTGTGCAGTAGTTCTTACACCCTGATCCCCTAGGTCTTTTCAGCCCGTTGAAGTAGGGTTTTCATGCCCATTATTTCACTGAAACTGCTCTCAGCCGGGTCATGAACAAATATTTTTAGCAAATATTTTTGCTAAATCTAAGTGGCACTTAAAAAATATTTTGTAATGAAACATATGCATTACAAAATATATAGTGTGTGTATAAAGTTTAAGGCATAATAAAATGAACATTAATGAACCCACCATGTTTGATATTATTAGACTGTTTAATTTTTGCCAATATGGTGGACTCCAAGTGGTGTGTCATTGGAGTGAAATTTGCAATTCATTGAGTCTTAATGAGATTGAGCATCTTTTCATATGTTAATTAACCATTTGTGATTCCCTATCGAAAGACCCTGTATTGCTTTTGACCATTCTATTTCACCATTTTTCTTAATAATCTAGATAACTGTTCCTTTGTTGTATGCATTGCAAATGTCTTCTCTGAGTTCATAGGTTGATTTTTCATTCTGTGAAGTCCTTTGATGTTGAAAAGCTCTTAGTTTTAAATTATAGCCAATTTACCAGCCTCTTCCCTATGATCTGTATTCTGATTTTCTAGTCCTTGATTTCCTTTTGTGTAAGTAGTACCTTGTTTGGGACTTTGGCATGTTGTTCTTCCTCTGTTGTCTATTCTCTACCGAAATTTTGATTAGACAGGTTGTACTTTTCTCCTTTATTTCTTTGTCTCTTAATGTTTTCTTAGTTTGTCTCCCTTTGTCTCTCTGAGCTACATTTGGTGTAATTTCTTTAGGTTTGTGTCCATCTCCATGTAGGTTACCTATTGTATAGCCCAGTTACCGTGTTTCTACTTCAATTTTTTTTAAAGGTTCTTTTTTTAAAATATATCTGCATTGATTTCAGAGAGAGGAAAGGAGAGAGACAGACAGACAGAAACATCAATGATGAGAGAGTCACTGGGGATCGAGCCCACAACCCGGGCATGTGCCCTGACTGGGAATCGAACCACCATCTCCTGGATCCTAGGTCGATGCCCAACTGCTGAGCCACACCTGGCCGGGCTACTTTGATTTTTTTATTTCTAGATGTTTTGTTGTTTTTTGTTTTCAAATTGGCTTTCCCATTTCTGATAGTCCTGTTACTATATTTTTAAAACACTCTTATTTCTTTAAATGCTTTGAATATATTTATATTCATATATGCTGCCTGATAATTCCTGTAGGTGCTGTATTTGTGGGTATGAATCTGCTGTTTAACAGAAGTCTGCTCATGGTGACTTCTTTCTCTGTAACGTGCTCTAGACAAGCTAAAGCAGTGCTCTTCAAACTTCTGTATGCAGGTAGTTCTACAGGAATCATTTTCTCAGTTCTCAGTGTTTCGTTCCTGACAAGGTTCCTTTGCTTACAGTAGCAAAATATGCTGCCTTCTCTTTTCCCACATCCTGTTCACAGATGCTCTTCTGCTAGTTTAAAGAAGACAGACATACCCATGTGCATCTGAGTATTTTTATGGGGGAGTTGCCCTGGGGAAGAAGGTGGAAAACCTCCAGGGTCCAGAAAAACAGGACAATTCAAATTACTAGTGTTAGTGAAGGTATTGGGTAGAACTTTCTGTCTTTCCGTGTGTTATGTGGAAGAATATCAGTCAGAACAAAGAATAACCCTTTATTCAGAGTGCTAGGGATGAGAAAGGATGTCAGAGGACCATTCTGATTTGGGGAAAGAGAGCAGCAGTATGTTTTATAAAGGGGATGGGGAAGTCACCTGGAGTTTATCTCCTTTCAGGAATAATAGGTCAGGAATGAATCTCCGAAGATGGAAGAATTGTTCTTAGAGATTAGTACCTTTTGTTTGATCATTTTAGATTTTATCCAGAGGGGTAAGGAGGGACAGTTTGGGACCAGGGTCATTTGCAACAGGTGTGGGAAGGATTAGCTGTGGGGACAAAAACGCTGAAGGATCACACTAGAAAGAGTCTCTTACACTCTTATACATAACTCTCATGATGAAAAATAAAAAACCTGGCCTGTGTTGCTGTGTGCGAAATTCCCAAAGTGGTAGAGAGCTTTTATGAAATGACCTTGCCTTTCCGCGCTCTCTTCCTTAGTAAGGAATGTCATTCTCGAGAGAAGAGGCAAAAAGGGCAGAAGAGAAATGCTTAAGGGGCCAGGTGCCTCTCTGCATCCAGGTGACAAGCTCACATAGGGGTCTGTGGGTTATCGAACTTTAGAATTGGGATTCGCATGACGGGGTGTGTGGGGACATGGGTTAACATATTTATTTGAATTGGAAAGTTAAGTCATATTTTTCTGAAAAAGTAAGCCTCATTGGCTGATTGGTTGGGCATTAACAGATTTTGCCATTTGTCATAAGGTAGACATTCTTCTTAAACTAAATGAGCTATGTCTTCAGCTCTGATGTGTTCTATTTTTTTCAGAAATACATTTAAAACAAGTGATAAGATATATTTGTCAGAGGATGTTGAAATAAATGGTATTTCAGTTTTCCCAATCCTGTGTCAGTGTCTAGGATAAACAAGAAGCTTCTGACTGAAGAAAAAAGGATCTTTGTAAGATCTTTTTTATATGCTTCACGGGAATTGAGAAAATGAATAACTTTACTGATGGGGGGACAAAGTCTTTTCTAGTTTTAAAACAGATTTTGAGGGAGAGCTAATTGAATAGTCAGCCAAGAGATTATTAAAAATAATACTTGATGATAGGTGATTTCATGGTTTTTAGTCTATACCCAGAAGGAATATAAAGAATTCAGTGATTTTGCTATGACAAAACTTTCATGCTCATCTGCTGCTTTATGTGAATGAATTTTCTCCCTTGTTACAGTGATAAAAATGAAGGTGGAAATAGAACTAGTATTTTTTATAGTTCATCATGACAAATCATATGGATTCATCAGTATGCAACTTAATTCATTATAAGATGCATTTCTAATACAATTTTACTTTTATATTTAATGATTATTAAAATATATAAAATTTATGTTGTTTGATCAATTATGCATATAATAATTATAAAAACTCAATTCCAGAAGAAAATTTTAATACTTAGCACCTTATCCCACAGGAAATTTTGATTAATTTAAATTTTAACTTTTGCAGAGACGTATGATAAGCAAGTTATGAATTTTAAGCATACA